TTACTAGAACCCATCTGATCCCATTCACATACAGTCAATTGAACCTGATAGCTGGTGTACATCTGGCACAGGTGCTTCCCACATTCTCCCCCTAACTAGTTCATTCAATTCAATTTCAATGTATCAACTCCATATTAAAGGGACTTGGGATACCCTCAGTCATTGGTGGATCAAAGGAAGGGAAAGGAAGAGCTTTAAAAGTTTACATTTTTATTTATTTTTATTGTGAGGATTCATAGTTAGATGTTCGTCCAGGTGGAGTCCTAGGTATCGGCTTTGATGAACAGAGATAAGTGGTGTATTATTAGAGGATGCTGTAGGACAGGAAGTAGTTGGTTTAGGAGGAGATGTAAATGTGTTTTGATGGGATTTCGAGACTGGTAGCAAATGGCTGGATTTATTTTTAAATTTCATGGCTTAAATTATTGGCTGAGATCTTCTGAGTGCTTTGAAAAAAATTGAGCTAAAAATACTGACCGTTGATATAATTTAATTACTCCAGGATAAAAAATTAAACAAATAAAAAATTGAAGAAATAATATATAAACCCACTCTGAAAAAGCGTCACATAAGCGTCAAAGGTTCAATGGTGAAGGGTTAGGAGATCAGAAGCTCCTAGGCGCTAAGGCTCACTGTCAGATCATTGGCGTTAGCTCAACTAGAATGCAACTTCTCGCCAATTGATGTGTTTATAGTCTTATTATCGAGCGTGACTTTTAGAATCAATATTCAAATGTTTCATACATAGTATGAGCATAATATACGCTCATATTTTAAGCTTAAGTTTAATATCATTAAATTAGATATGTGCTATAAATCATCAACTTCAATCAAAAATATTGGACACACATCCCGGCCTTCGGTCCGATTTGTCTTGGAGTCGAGAAAAAAATATTTTACATCATTTCAAGAGAAATTTATGTATTGTTTTTTTCCTACCTTTGGTTAACCACCCCGTAACCACCCGGGCAAAAAGCAAACCAGGAAAAAAACAATACATAAATTTCTCTTGAATGATATAAAATATTTTTTTATCGGCTCCAAGACCCATCGGACCGAAGGCTGGGACGTGTCTCCAATATTTTTTATATACATATAATGTAATAGTCAATTACTAAGATATTTGTTATTTAATGAGTATGAGCTGTTGTGTGGAAAACATAATTTTAGGTAGATTTAATGAAACATCGACAAAGTTGATGATTTATAGCATATATTTATTTTAATAATATTAAACTTAAAATTAAAATATGTTCGTATATTATGCTCATACTATGTATGAAACATTTAAATATTAACTATAAAAGTCAGGCTAGATAATAAGACAATAAACGTATAAATTGGCGAGAAGTTGCATTCAAGTTAAGCTAGGATCATAGCTCAGACAGGGAGCCTTAGCGCCTAGGAGCTTCTGTTCTCCTGATCCTACATCTTTAAACCTTTGACGCTTATGTGACGCTTCTTCAGAGTGTGTTTATTTATTATTTCTTCAATTTTTCAATTTGTTTTATTTTTTTCTATGAGAGTAATTAACTTGTATAAGTAAGTTACTTTGTTGGGCATGCAGTTGCTTACTGATTTATCTAATTAAATTGTTTAGCTGAATAAATAAATAAATAATGAGGCCTAATAAAGATAAAAAAAAAATCTCCTTACTACAGGAACATGATTTGAATGTATTTTCATCTCTGACCACTGTTTCCAAAATTAATTGTATTTTATGATAACAATTGATGTTTGCCATAATGTAGTAGTATGTTTCATTTCCATAATACAATAATCCATACATTAGTGCAATTATGAAAAAATAATAAAACATGAAATATTTAGTGGGAGAACACCCAGGGAATTTGTTTGGCCTGTGCCCATGTTAAGCAGATGGCTGCCCTGTGTTTGAAAGTAGAGAGTTCTTAGCGACATAGAGTAATTTTCATATTACCTCTTAATTATAAAATTTACAATTTTATTTCCCTCAACATATTGCACAGCTAAAAAAAAAAATCACCAAACAGATATTATCTGTTGCTCAATATTTATTATGTTTACCTCCAGTGAAAAAAGAATGTTTATTTCAGTTAAACTTGAAGGGTATACATTCATAAGTGTACACTTATTTATTTTTTTAATATGATTGAAAATATATTAAACATTTGCACACAAACTTCACCAGTTTGTGTTTTTTTTTTTTTTTTTTTTTTTTTTTTTTTATTTACGGCACATATTTCATAGTATTCCACGTTTGCAGTCTTGCAAGAATATAATTTCATATTTTTACCCTCTCTTATTAAACAGACACTTCTTCAAAATTGAAAATATAAACTGCAATGTAACACATTCTAGCTAATTATTTGCTTATATTCTCCTGGAAGTTTATTTTCAGGATCCAGGCATCTTTTTGTAATGTGTTTATGAATCCTATCTTTAAAAAAAAATCACCAAACAGATATTATCTGTTGCTCATTATTTATTATGTTTACCTCTAGTAAAAAAAAAAAAATTATTCCAGTTAAATTTGAAGGGTAAACATTCAATAGTATACACTTATTTATTTTTTTAATATGATTTCAAATGTATTAAACATTATTATTTGTATTGCTGATGATTTTCTGACTACTTCTTTCTAATTATTCAATGTTTCTGCACACAGACTGCACCAGTTTCTGTATTTATTTTATTTACGGTATATATTTCAAATTACTCCTATTGTGCAGTCTTACAGGAATATAATTTTATATTTATACCCTCTCTTATTAAAAAGACACTTCTTCAAAATTGAAATTATAAATTGCAATCTAACACATTCAAGTTAATTATTTGCTTATATTCTCCAGTAAATTTGTTTGCAGGATCCAAGAACCTTTTTTCTAATTTTTATATTTATTTACTTAGAAATATAACATTCTGTCAAGTGGACAGTAATTATAGTGATTTATGAATACATTCATACCATATATACAGAAAATATATAATTAACAAAAGTAAAATAATCAAAAACTATAAAACGTTTATGATTTCTATCTTTCAATCTTTCGACATTACAAAGGTAGGGAAAGAAAGAGCTTTAAAAATTTACATTTTTATTTCCCTCAGTGCAAATTGATAACATTTGGTATATGTACTTTCATTTGTGCTAGTCTTGAAACATTGTGAGGTTGTAGTAAAACCTAAAATTTTTAACATAGTGAAAAGATTGTTTTTACTAAAAATAAATGTACCTAGTTGATGAATTCCTAGTACAGCAAGGCTTTTTCCAAATATGAGCAACATATCATTATAAAAATAAGCTTAAAAAACATATTGCACAATTGAAAAAAAAAATCACAAAACAGATATAATCTCTTTTACATTTCTTTCTATTTTTTTAATGTCAATGTAACACAAGATAAATTTATGTATTGTTTTTTCCTGCCTTTGCTTAACATCCCCTAACCACCCGGTCAGAGCAAAGGCAGTTAAATTTGAAGGGTATATATTCAAAGGTGTACACTTCAATTCAATTTCAAAGTATCACCAGTTTGTGATTTTTTTTTAATTTTTTTTATTTACGGCAAATATTTAATAGCATTCCACGTTTGCAGTCTTGCAAGAATATAATTTTATATTTTTACCCTCTCTTATTATACAGACACTTCTTCAAAATTGAAATTATAAATTGCAATCTAACACATTCAAGTTAATTATTTGCTTATATTCTCCTGGAATTTTATTTTCAGGATCCAGGCATCTTTTTGAAAAGTGTTTATGAATTCTACCTTTAAATCTTGTGACATTTGTACATTGCATCACTCTGCACTATGAGTGGAACGTGACAATGATTTATACATTTTTTTTGTAAATGATATGATCAATATATATTCTATCTTTAACAATTTAACAGATTCCTCTGATTAATTTTTTTGATTAGAACCCATCTCTTCCCATTCACATACAGTCAACTGAACCTGATAGCTGGTGTACATCTGGCACATGCGCTTCCCGCATTCTCCCCCTAACTAGTTGATTCAATTCAATTTCAAAGTATCACCTCCATGACAAAGGCAGTAGGGAATACCATCAGTCATTGGAGGATTAAAGGTACTGAAAGGAATAGCTTTAAACATTTATAATTTTATTTCCCTCAGTGCAAATTAATAATATTTGGTATTTGACTAATTTTTTCCTTTTAGGATAGTCTTGGAACATTGTGAGGTTGTCATAAAACCTAAAATCTTCAACATAGCGGAAAGAATTTACCTAGTTGATTAATACCTAGTACAGCAATGCTTTTTCTAAATATGAGCAGCATATCATTATAAAAATAAGCTTATATATCATATTGCACATCTAAAAAAAAATCACCAAACAGATGTTATCTGTTGCTCATTATTTATTATGTTTACCTCTAGTGAAAAAAAAAAAAATTATTCCAGTTAAATTTGAAGGGCATACATTCAATAGTATACACTTATTTATTTTTTTAATATGATTTCAAATGTATTAAACATTATTATTTGTATTGCTGATGATTTTCTGACTACTTCTTTCTAATTATTCAATGTTTCTGCACACAAACTGCACCAGTTTCTGTATTTTTTTTAATTTACGGTATATATTTCAAATTACTCCTATTGTGCAGTCTTACAAGAATATAATTTTATATTTATACGCTCTCTTATTAAAAAGACACTTCTTCAAAATTGAAATTATAAATTGCAATCTAACACATTCAAGTTAATTATTTGCTTATATTCTCCAGTAAATTTGTTTGCAGGATCCAAGAACCTTTTTTCTAATTTTTATATTTATTTATTTAGAAATATAACATTCTGTCAAGTGGACAATAATTATAGTGATTTATGAATACATTCATACCATATATACAGAAAATATATAATTAACAAAAGTAAAATAATCAAAAATGATTTCTATCTTTCAATCTTTCGACATTACAAAGGTAGGGAAAGAAACAGCTTTAAAAATTTACATTTTTATTTCCTTCAGTGCAAATTGATAACATTTGGTATTTGTACTTTCATTTGTGCTAGTCTTGAAACATTGTGAAGTTGTCATGAAACCTTAAATTTTCATCATAGTGGAATGATTGTTTTTACTAAAAATAAATGTACCTAGTTGATGAATTCCTAGTACAGCAAGCCTTTTCCAAATATGAGCAACATATCATTATAAAAATAAGCTTAAAAAACATATTGCACAATTGAAAAAAAAAAATTCACAAAACAGATATAATCTTTTTTACATTTCTTTCTATTTTTTTAATGTCAATGTAACACAAGATAAATTTATGTATTGTTTTTTCCTGCCTTTGCTTAACATCCCCTAACCACCCGGTCAGAGCAAAGGCAGTTAAATTTGAAGGGTATATATTCAAAAGTGTACACTTATTTATTTTTTTTAATATGATTGAAAATATATTAAACATTTGCACACAAACTTCAACAGCAAGAATATAATTTTATATTTTTACCCTCTCTTATTAAACAGACACTTCTTCAAAATTGAAAATATAAACTGCAATGTAACACATTCTAGCTAACTATTTGCTTATATTCTTATGTATGTTTATTTTCAGGATCCAGGTATTTTTTTGTAAAATGTTTATGAATTCTACCTTTAAATCTTGTGACATTTGTACATTGCATCACTCTGCACTATGAGTGGAAGGTGGCAATGATTTTTACATTTTTTTTGTAAATGATATGATCAATATATATTCTATCTTTAACAATTTAACTGATTAATTTTTTTGACTAGAACCCATCTCTTTCCATTCACATACAGTCAACTGAACCTGATAGCTGGTGTACATCTGGCACATGCGCTTCCCGCATTCTCCCCCTAACTAGTTGATTCAATTCAATTTCAAAGTATCACCTGCATGTCAAAGGCAGTAGGAATACCATCAGTCATTGGTGGATCAAAGGTAGGGAAAGGAATAGCTTTAAACATTTATAATTTTATTTCCCTCAGTACAAATTAATAATATTTGGTATTTGACTAATTTTTTCTTTTTAAGCTAGTCTTGGAACATTGTGAGGTTGTCATAAAACCAAATATCTTCAACATGAATTTACCTAGTTGATTAATACCTAGTACAGCAAGGCTTTTTCTAAATACGAGCAGCATATAATTATAAAAATAAGCTTATATATCATATTGCACATCAAAAAAAAATTCACCAAACAGATATTTTCTGTTGCTCAATATTTATTATGTTTACCTTGAGTGAAAAAAGAATGTTTATTTCAGTTAAACTTGAAGGGTATACATTAAAAAGTGTACACTTATTGATTTTTTTAATATGATTGAAAATATATTAAATATTTGCACACAAACTTCACCAGTTTGTGTTTTTTGTTTTTAATTTTTTTTATTTACGGCACATATTTAATAGTATTCCACGTTTGCAGTCTTGCAAGAATATATTTATATTTTTACCCTCTCTTAATAAACAGACACTTCTTCAATATTGAAAATATAAACTGCAATGTAACACATTCTTTTTTTTTTTTTTTTTTTTTTTTAATCTATTTATTGAATAATAATACATGCAGCCACTGCTGGAGGGCTATAAGCATTAGGGCTAAAAGTTCTCATTCATACAATATATACAAATAATAAAGAAATAAATATAAATATAAGAAGTAAATAAATAATACTGATGAAGAAGATAAATAAAAAGAAAAGAAAAAATAATAATAATAAACAAATAAAATAAAATAAAAACTTCTAAACACAATCATAACTATATACAATATATACATTCGCCCAAGAATCTCCGAACCAGGCTTTTTCCCCCACACGTGGAAGGCAAAGCAAGACTCCGGAAGATCCCAGCGCCACTTTTCCAGCCGCATCACTAGTATTAGAAGCCAGTGGAGACTGAAAGAGGGCACTAGAGCCACAGACGCTCAGGACATGAGTGGAGAAGCTGGCCATTGCCAGGACTCCAAATGCATATTTACAAAAGATCTCGAGGCCACTGCCGTTTCAACCTTCGAGGGGGATGGTATGGATGCTCGGAGCTGGATAGGGATTGGGCTAGAGGATTGGGATGATGTATGAGGTTCTGGTGAAAGTTGGAGAATCTGGATGGGATGATGTCATGGACATATGGGATGTTAAGGTCATGGTGTAGGGTCTTGTTCGTGACATAATATGGAGCATTGACTATTGTTCGAAGGACTTTAGACTGGAAGGATTGGATGCGTTTGATATTCGATGATTTAGTTGTCCCCCACAGCTCAAGTCCGTAGGTCCAGATAGGTTTCAGTATGGTCTTGTAGATTAATAATTTGTTTTCTGTTGAGAGATGAGATGTTCTGTTTAGTAGTCTATATAGCTGACCAAATCGTCGGTTAAGCTCTTGTCTTTTAAGTCTCGTATGTGGGTTCCAAGTCAGTCTTTTGTCCAGAAGGAAGCCAAGGTATCGGACTGTGTCTGAGTAGGGAAGAGGAATTGAATTAAAAAGGATTGGCGGACAGGATCTGCGTCGAAGAGTGAAAGTTACATGTTTACATTTTGATTCATTAATTTTGATGCGCCAGTTGTTGCACCACTGCTCAATGAAGGAGAGGTGTCTTTGCAGGTTCCGGGACGCAATTAGAGGATCCGAGTGGGAGGATAGGATGGCAGTATCATCAGCAAATGTTGCTAGGAAGGTATCAGGACTTGAAGGGATGTCAGCGGTAAAAAGGATGTAGAGAACTGGGCCCAAGACACTGCCTTGTGGGACACCAGCCTCAATTGGATAATGTTTGGAGAGTTCAGTGCCGCAGCGGACTTGAAAGGAGCGATTTGAAAGGTAGGATTTGAGGACTAGATACAAGGGTTGAGGTAAATGGGTTTTGAGCTTGAAAAGCAAGCCATCGTGCCACACCCGGTCGAAAGCTTGAGCTACGTCCAGAAAGGCACCAGTGCAATATTGCTTGTTTTCAAGTGCAGAGGATATGTGGTCCACAACGCGAAGGCCTTGTTGGACAGTGGAGTGTCTTGAGCGGAATCCAAACTGATGGGAAGGGATATTGTGGGATTCGAGTATGGGTAGGATGCGTTTGAGAAGGATTTTCTCAAAGATTTTGGAAAGGATCGGAAGTAAGCTTATCGGTCTATAGGATGATGTACAATTAACAGGTTTACCTGGTTTAGGAAAGAGGATAATTATGGAGTGTTTCCACACCAGAGGAAAGTGGGTTGTGCGGAGGATACAGTTGAATAGGTATGTAAGGAATATAATTGCTTTTTTGGGAAGTTGTCTGAGGATCTGGGAAGTAAGGAGATCGTGTCCTGGAGATTTGCGAGGTTTTAGGTTCTTTAAAAGGAATTTGACCTCAGAGGGGTTGACGGCTGTAGGAGGTAAGGAGAGAGGAATCGGTGAAGAGAGGAATTCTTTAACTTCAGCAGTATGGGAGGGATGGAGTTCAGGATGAGGAGTGAATGTGTACGATAGATGTTTAGCAAACTCTTCTGCTCTATTCTCATCTGACGAAGCCCAGGAACCATCATCACGGCGGAGGGGGTGGGAAATGGATTGGAATTTAAGGATTTTTTTAGTTACATTCCAGAGGGAGTTATCACTTGCAGATAGTGAGGAAAGATAGGAATTATAGGATTGGGATCTAAACGTAGCCAGTTTTTGTTTTACCTGCTTGGAATAATAGTTATATGATTTCCGATCATCAGGATGCCTGGTTCTTTGCCAGATGGTCCTAGAGCATCGTTTTCTATTAATAAGGTCCAGTAGGTCTTGGGGTAGAGGATTTATTTTGCGGTATTTTTTAGAAGGATAAGGTGAAGATGCAGTCCAAACTGCTTGTTGGATCAAGGTAGTCATGGAATATACTGCTTCATCTAGGTCTGCGGGTGTTTTTAAGGAAACTCTGAGGTCAATATTATCATCCAGTATTTGACGGAAGAGGTTCCAATTAACTGGCCCCCTGATAAATGAAGGTGGAGGTGGTTTGGGAATTGGTGATGTGGAGACCGTTAGGATTAGGGGACTATGGTCTGAGGAAAGATCATCAAGTCTTGAGATGCAATAATGAAGGGACCCTAGACCTTTGTGGATGAAAAAATCTAGGAGATCGGGATTGCGGTTAGGATCTGTTGGCCAGTATGTGGGAGAATTGGGTGAGAGGATGTTGCTGTGATGGGAATTAAGTGCAGATAGCAATGTTCGTCCTCGGGAATTTGTGGTTCTGGCTCCCCATTGCTGGTGTTTAGCATTTAAGTCTGCACCTAGAAGGAAGTGGTGTCCTAAGGAGTTAAGGAAGGAAGTTAATTGGGATTCTGAGATGGGTATTTTAGGCGGGGAGTATGCTGCGACTACTGCTATTGGGTAAAGGGAAGTTTGGATTATCACGGCAGTGGATTGTAGGAAATTATGGGTTAGCAAAGGGAATAGATGATGGGAAAGGGATTGATGGATAATTATGGCAGTGCCAGCATGTGCTGTTCCATCAGGATGGTCGGTTCGATAGATATGATAGTTGGGGATGTTAAGTGGTCGTTTGTTGGTAAGTCGAGTTTCAGTTATTAATGCTATATCAATGTTTTTGTCCTGTAATAAGATTGTTAGTTCGTTGACGTGATTTCGAATACCATTCGCATTCCAAAGGAGAACGGAGAGGGATTTGATTGGGGACATTTAAGGATTTCTCGACAGTGGGATGAGGTTGGATACAACATTGGTAAGCAAGGAAATGAGAGGAGTGATGAGTGACCTGAATTCAGAGAGGAAAGAAGTCAATAGGCTTGTGAGGTCAGTGGCATTGGGAGGAGGAGGAATGAATGTCTGGTTATTAGGCCTAGGTTCAGAGATGGGATAAGGGTCTTGTGGTTGAGATGTGAATACTCGAGGTTGAGGTTCTTGTGGCAGGGCCTGAATTTGTGTGGGTGCATTGTCTCCTTTGAACATCTGAGCATAGGACACTCTTGTATTTACAGTTCTAGAGGGTTGTCTTGGTGGCCTGGATGGCCGTTCTTCTCTTGGAGCTGCAGAAATTCTTGCTTTCAGTTCCTTATATGTTTGGCAACCCTTGTAGTTCGCTGGGTGCCCTTGGTGGCATAAAGCGCATACTGCTGGTGTTCTTCTGGACTTCTGGCAGTC